TGTAGATGAGTTTGACTTGCTGTGCCATCCAGGAGATATAGTAAAATAGAAACACTGAAGCAAAAATATTTACACCGTAACTTGGTGGAGGAGCAAAGATGCAAATTCTGAACGGACAGGATACCAGGCCGGCTTTTCCGGCTTCTAAGTGTTTTAACTGTTTTTACTATTGGTTTATAAGATTGTTTCGTGGTGTTCTACTTACCTTATGATTTATAATTTCCTTTATATGTTATTTAGTTGATTTACTTATACGTTGATTGATAAATTGTATTTAGTTACTTTTAATTAATTTCTTTATTATGTTATATGTATATATGTACGTTTGATTTTAATGTATATACTGTAAGTTGCCATAGACAATTTGAGGCAAGAAGCAAATAAAGTTCAGTACCAGTACCAGTATCGGCCCCAGTCCTACTATTAAAGCATAGACCTCTCCTGACATACTAGATTTTATTTATTTATTAATCTTGAGGGTCGCCCCTTCAGTTGATAAACAACTGATTTCCAAGGGGGCCCTGGTTCCACATCCAACAGATGAATCAACAAAACGTTAAAATTGTACAACATAAAGCACAAAATCGAACAAGAAGCCATAGGTGACAATCCTCCGTGAGCATTTCAGGCAAGAAGCAAATAAAGTTCAGTGCCAGTACCAGTATCGGCCCCAGTCCTACTAAGCATAGACCTCTCCTGAGATACTAGATCGTTCTGACGGCCTTTCTAACTACACGTATTGCCGTCCTGTAGGCGAACCGACTGAAGCCGACCCGTAAAATTAAAAAAACCGGCGTGCGCTAAGGGGCCTGAGCGGGCAGGCAGTACTCCGAGCTCCGTAGAGATACCGGGAAGCCTACGGTGGTCTGACAGTCAGGCTAAATGCGTACTCTAATTATGTATGGCTGAAACCTTATCGGCAAACTTTCTTTGTCATCCACTTCGTTTCTCCTTCATGGTTACAGGGATCCCTTGTCTGCCCAGTACTCCTGACACGACGCATGGAATATGAGGTCCCTGCTGACTGCCCTGTTCGTGCTGACTGTGCTGTCCACTGCTGCCGGGAAGACCGTTGACTACACCGGGCGTAACTTGACGCAGGTCCCGACAGACGCCTTCACGCCAGACGCTCACACCGTTCGACTGTCTCACAACAGGATATCCCGCCTCGGCTCCGGCTTTACATCAGCCCCACGCGTCCGGTACCTGATCATCAACGACAACAGGGTGAACACCTTATCCCCGCAAAGCTTCCAACCTCTTCAGGAACTACTCTTCCTAGATTTGGACAGGAACCGCCTCGTCTCCCTTCGCGACTTCACCTTCTCGGCCCTCGCCGCGCTCTCGGATCTCATTCTCTCCAACAACCTCATTTCCGCCGTCTCGGTGCGGGCCTTCCACGGGCTGACAAGTCTGGAGTTCCTGGAACTTTCCGGGAACCGACTGTCGGCAGTCCCCGTGCAGGCCGTCCGCCTGATTCCCGGAGAGCGGCTCTTGTTAGTTCTGCTCATGGTGAACAACATCAGCCACATTCCCGGAGACATCGCCTCCCTCCACCCGTCCGCTTCGTACAAGTTCCACGGCAACCCCCTGCGCTGTCCGGACGAGAAGCAGAACTCCAGCCGCGAGGACGTGATCAACGCCGAGAACATCAGACGGCCCAGCTCGCCCGTGGTGTGGACTTACGTCGTCGACACACTGGAAGGCGGCCGCAGACTTTCAGGGAATCTTCTCTTCATCAAAGATCTGCACAAATATTTCGGCGTCGCTCCCAAAACCTTCTACGTCAGCGAGCACCTTAGCGTTCATCTCCCCGAGATTCCCGTGGATAGATTTGTGGATTATCCAACAGCCTGGATCACTCCAACAGGGCGCCGCCCGGTCCCTGCCGGCAAAGCGCTCACGATTGAAGACTTCACCGCGGAAGACTCGGGGTTCGTTTTTGTTTTTATTTAGGCCATTTTGATTTGATTATATGGATGACATCCACGCGCGCAAGAATTTTCGGCCATTTGCAAAAGAAAAGTTTTCAACCATACTGTAAATCGTACAAAACAGTTACAATATATACCGTGAGTTGAAAAATAGACATTGGAAAACGATACCAATGTCGTAGAATACCAAAATTAGACGACAAAAAATGTAACGAAATGGATTTGAAGACTAGATTATTCGCCAAACCATAATCTGTGTCATTTGTTCAACCTCCAAAACCATGTAGATTTCATAATAAAAAGCACCTTTTTTGGCCAAACTTTTTTTTAATTCGCACGCTCGCATCAGTTTTAGGGTTCCCAGAGGATGTCATTCATATAATCAAATCAACATGGCTTTATCAGCACATAGTATAGACAACGTAATAAGGAAAAAAAGGACAGTGTACAGGAGGGGGTCGGGCATGGGAAGACTAGTAGGTTTGTACTGAGCCCGCCTCCTTGAAACTAATACATGATTCTATATTCTCAAAATAGATTAAGGAAAGCAAAGATATCGCAAACCGTAGCAGTGCATGTACGTGCTTTAACAAAACAGTTTCAAATGCCGAAAAATTAACGGACCGATCAGCCTCTATACAAAATTAATGTACTAGAAATCAGTATGACTGAAATATCACACAAATGATAAAACCCTAGTTGTAATCCCCAGGTTGTACACGTATGTGCGGGACGTCCCGGGCACCACCAGGTCCATCTGCTTCGATATGATGGTTTGCCTTCACCGGCCAGCCGAGGACGGACAGACACCTGAGGAAAAAACAACAACAACAGCAATTCCCCATCCGATGATGTTTCACCAGAAGATCGTAAAAACAGCACAAACGACATCTGTGCTGGTTCTCCGGCGAACCAATCCTGCAGTTGTTTCAACGGGTCAAGATCACCGTCGTTTCATCACCCGAAGTTCTGTGATGCTGGAAGCACCAACTCAGACTTAAAGCCCACCCGATTACTCATCATCCTTGGCATTGCTTCTATGATGCTCTGTTCTGTTGCGGTATTTTGTTGGAGGAAAAGGCAAGGAAGGAGTGGAGAGAACGGCGGCAGCGCCGGGGCTGCGGTACGCGCGGGTGCACAGGCCATGGCCGTCTGTATCCCTCTTCACCCCCTGCCCAGGCTGACAGAACTTTCAACGGAAGGAGAACCTAACGCATCTCTACTCTCTCATCTGAGAGGAACTGAATCAAGGGCGGCGATGAAAATGGGAGCCACGCAATATACTAGTGGTTTACACCGCGCGACAGGAGCGCGCCCAGCGGAACCGATCGGCACTACAGAAGCTCAGATTCATCACTACGAAAACGCTGACGCTGACGAGTACGCCTCAGTAGCGCCGCGCCCTCTACCGGACGATGAGGAAACTGCAGCTGACGCTGTAAATACAAGCGTGCCAGAAGGAGTATCTGAACAACCTGCTTTTCAGATCGGGGATGGTCTGGAAATGCCTTACGGTGTAGCCGCGGCAAATGCAATGTATCAGCGAGGAGGGACGGCACCGAATCCTAATGCTAGTGTTCTCACAAATGAGCACACAAGTAGCACTGATTTGACTGACTCGGCAGCTTACACTGCGATACATGACAACCCGGTTGAAGCACAAACCGTCACCACTGATTTTTACCGGCAGCAAACTACGCACACTGAGCACATAGCAACAGAGGCAAACATACCACTGTACCGACGAGATACGGCACCGAATCGTAGATCTCTCACAAGTGAGCACGCCCATAGTGGCAACGATGCAACTTTATACTGTGCGACAGACGACAACGGAAAAGGAACTGTCACCGCTGGCCTGTATGGACAGCAAATTGACTAATCTGCAAGCAGACTTTTCGGTGGCTGCACTACTTGAAGACAGTATCAAACTGGACATAGGCAGTATGCAATACGCCACACGTTTGGCTGGCTTAACATGAAGACAAAGCCCTATGAACGATCATAATCGTGCCTAAAAACAGGTCGGAGTTTCAACCTCTGCTTGCAGAATACAAACTAATTACACTCCCATGGCTGCATAACGATGCGGCAACTGTTGACCAACTTCGATGTGCTTTATTACAAAAATTCCCTACCGTAGAACTGTTGCAGAATGGAACTTGTTACCAACAGTACATGCCTCTGTTGTCAGCCATCCTTGTTTTTTAATATAAACGGACAGTTTTCTGACAGTTACATTGCCTATTCTGACAGTTATACGCCATCTTGAATCGTCGATCTTAAATTCTTGAAATTACATTTTTTCAAGATACAGCCTAAAATTAAAAACACAATGCAAACAAAATAACGATTTACACATGAACGTTTTATGTGAAAATAGGTACCAGTAAAGTTACACCAGAGCTAATGTTATGGTCCGCCATCTTGAATTTTGACCAATGGCGTCATCGAATTAGCATAAATCATGAATATATTTAATGATAGAGATTACATATGATTATATAAGATGTTATTAGTGTTAGAATGGAAGTAGTATTAAGCATGAAAACCTGAAAACTTCAATGTTAAAACCAAAATTACAGAATTTTTCAAAAACCCGTTGCCATGGCAAAAGGAAAATTCATTTACTTATCTAATCAAAATGAACTTGTAAAATACATTTTAGGAATAGTCACCGAATTTTATGGTTCTGGCGCACGCCGTTCATGAGATGAAAGTTGGCGCGGGCTTCAAATAGGATTTAAAAAAACACCCAAAATCTAATCTTTAGAGCAGCGAAGCCGTACTTCACGGGAAAGTTTTTTTTAATAAAAAAAGAGTTAACTTTATAACTTCAAGTTGGTCTGCGTGTGTCATCAAGTTAATCATCATCAAGCATCCGAATTAGTTGTTTATCATGGATAAATGTAGATATCTACTAGTATATACTGATATAGCAGATTCTCCTTGGCTATGACTGATAGTGTAGGTTGACAGTGTACAATGTAGGTTGTATCATGCTATAAAATTATGGCGTCATAACTAATACGAAACGGGGGCTTCTGATTGGCCAACGTCACCTGGCTATATAATAATGGTTGTTAGGGCACAGCAAGTGAATTCCATAGATGACATCCGCCGCAGACTCCAAAGTTAATAATGCGATAGGGCGAAAAAACAAGGCGGGCCAAGAAAAACAAGATTTCTACATTTTCAAATTTTGAGATCATAAACCTTAAACAAGTTTTTTTACATCACATATAAAGGAATGAAACACAACACTGCAAAAAAATCAAATCCCGGCATGTGAGAGACCAGAGGAGAAATGCAGGTTTATAAGCACAAACTATTAATTGATATGCGTAAATAAAGTAAAGACAATTTTTTTGAAGTTGAAAAGGAACAAAAGTCAGACAAGACAAGATGATGCAAATTAGTCAGAAAGCTCCTGTTATACAAAAAAAAGGAACTTAAGTGCTGTCTGTCCTCGTGGCTGGGAGTGCCAAATAACAAGTACCGGAGAGATCCAATCGTAGACCCCTTCCCTGCTGTTCCTCCTGCCATTGCATGGTATCGATCTGCACCATGTCCTGTCCGGACGTCCATGCAAACCCGTATGGCCATTGTGCGGCTGAGAGGGGTACTGCAGCCAAACGTTCAAGTACAGACAGTCGTCCTTTCGTTTTTTTTTATCATGTGGAAGGCAGGTCCACATGTTTCATTAGCCATAAAGTCTAACGCCTGCGTCATCGGTTCGTGTGCCCTCTGTGGACCGCCTCATCATGCATTGTGTGTGTTCGCTGTGGGTGACTGACTCATCGTTTTTAGCCTTCATTTGTAATACATGTGATACGTCAGCATGAAAGTTCATCTGAGTTGGTAAATTTCATTATGAAAAATATAAACTGTTCTCCAACTCATAAATTTCACTCACCGGAATTTTCGACCGAATCACTCAGTCTTCCTCAGCTATCTGACCCAAATGCTGTAGATACGTGATTTTTCCTACGTGTGACGTCAGCAAAGGGACAACGGTTGTCTGAAGTCGATATCGCCCCCCGTCCCGGCTGAGCGTGTCCCACATGTACATGTGAGACGTGTATCATGCTAGTGTCATCTTTTCCCGCCGATATTGTGGTTCTTGCCATTTTATCCAATAGAGCCATGGCTATAGCGTGAACTAAAATATGCCACGAAAGATGAAGATGTGTGATAAAGAAACAGGTAAAGACATCGGCATCATTTCAAAAAATGACATCAACCAAAATCTGTACATTTCGAGTTTACTAAGCAACTCTCCGTTGGGGAATATTTCAATTAAGTTTAATAAACAATGTATACAGAGCACGCATTTAGTGCACTTACAGTTGGAACGCCTGTACACATATCCACAAGTGGTCAACTTTGGCTTTGAGTTTACACGTATTTCTAAATCTTCAGTCACAGAAGTTATCAAACCGGCATTGAAATGAACCGACTTTCTCTAAGGCTGTCGTCTTCATTTGACGTATGTTTCGACAGTTTTCTCTTCCGGTTCGCTTGATCCACTTCCGGTTCGGGTGGCAGCGGTTGGAATGACGGGGAGGCTATGACGTCGGTGATGACGTCGCGATGACGTCGGTGATGACGTCATCAATTGAGACGTAGTCGGTATCAGGACGGGTCTACTCAAACTGAGGAAGAAGACCGGTGACACTACTGAGGAGCAGGAGGATGGTGGGAAGGGTGGTGGTGGCGCTGCTAGCATCTGTGGCGGGAAACAACACGAAGAAAAAAAAACAATTGTCACTTGCTAGCAATTTGAACTAAGAACGTAAGCCAACAATCCTCATCAAAAGACAACTTTGCTACCAAGGAGGGAAGCCTTTCCTTAACCTCCTTGTTTACTGCTACTATTTTTTTCATTTATTCCAACATGTAATCACCAGACGTGGTGACGGCACACTCAAGTTTTATCAACTTATATTAATGCCGACAATACTCATTTTCGCCTGAGCGAAGTGAGGAAGTCGTGTAAAGTGCCTTTCCCANAAATGCCTTACGGTGTAGCCGCGGCAAATGCAATGTATCAGCGAGGAGGGACGGCACCGAATCCTAATGCTAGTGTTCTCACAAATGAGCACACAAGTAGCACTGATTTGACTGACTCGGCAGCTTACACTGCGATACATGACAACCCGGTTGAAGCACAAACCGTCACCACTGATTTTTACCGGCAGCAAACTACGCACACTGAGCACATAGCAACAGAGGCAAACACACCACTGTACCGACGAGATACGGCACCGAATCGTAGATCTCTCACAAGTGAGCACGCCCATAGTGGCAACGATGCAACTTTATACTGTGCGACAGACGACAACGGAAAAGGAACTTGTCACCGCTGGCCTGTATGGACAGCAAATTGACTAATCTGCAAACAGACTTTTCGGTGGCTGCACTACTTGAAGACAGTATCAAACTGGACATAGCCTCATAGGCAGTATGCAATACGCCACACGTTTGGCTGGCTTAACATGAAGACAAAGCCCTATGAACGATCATAATCGTGCCTAAAAACAGGTCGGAGTTTCAACCTCTGCTTGCAGAGTACAAACTGATTACACTCCCATGGCTGCATAACGATGCGGCAACTGTTGACCAACTTCGATGTGCTTTATTACAAAAATTCCCTACCGTAGAACTGTTGCAGAATGGAACTTGTTACCAACAGTACATGCCTCTGTTGTCAGCCATCCTTGTTTTTTTTAATATAAACGGACAGTTTTCTGACAGTTACATTGCCTATTCTGACAGTTATACGCCATCTTGAATCGTCGATCTTAAATTCTTGAAATTACATTTTTCCAAGATACAGCCTAAAATTAAAAACACAATGCAAATAAAATAAAGATTTACACATGAACGTTTTATGTGAAACTAGGTACCAGTAAAGTTACACCAGAGCTAATGTTATGGTCCACCATCTTGAATTTTGACCAATGGCGTCATCGAATTAGCATAAATCATGAATATATTTAATGATAGAGATTACAATGATTATATAAGATGTTATTAGTGTTAGAATGGAAGTAGTATTAAGCATGAAAACCTGAAAACTTCAATTACAGAATTTTTCAAAAACCCGTTGCCAAGACAACAGGAAAATTCATTAACTTATCTAATTAAAATGAACTTGTAGAATATACTTTAGGAACAGTCACACATGTTTCATTAGCCATAACGTCTGACGCCTGCGTCATCGGTTTGTGTGCCCTCTGTTGACCGCCTCATCATTGTGTGTGTTCGCTGTGGACGACTGCCTCGTCGTTTCAGCCCTCGTGTGTAATACATGTAAGACGTGTAGCATACTACTACTACTAGCTAGTGTCATCTTTTCTCCCCGATATTGTGGTTCTTGCCATTTTATCCAATAGAGCCACGGCTATAGCGTAAACTAAAATATGCCACGAAAGATGAAGATGAAAGATAAAGAAACAGGTAAAGAGATCGGCACCATTCCAAAAAATGACATCAACCAAAATCTGTACACTTCGAGTTTAAAAGTTCGGGAATATTTCAATTAAGTTTAATAAACAATGTATACAGAACACGCATTTAGTGTACATAGAGTTGGAACCCCTGCACACATATCCACAAGTGGTTAACTTTGGCTTTGAGCTTACACGTATTTCTAAATCATCAGTCACAGAAGTTATCAAACCGGCATCGAAATGAACCGACTTTCTCTAAGGCTGTCGTCTTCATTTGACGTATGTTTCGACAGTTTTCTCTTCCGGTTCGCTTGATCCACTTCCGGTTCGGGTGGCAGCGGTTGGAATGACGGGGAGGCTATGACGGCGGTGATGACGTCGGTGATGACGTCGGTGATGACGTCATCAATGATGACGTAGTCGGTATCAGGACGGGTCTACTCAAACTGAAAAAGACCGGTGACACCACTGAGGAGCAGGAGGATGGTGGGAAGGGTGGTGGTGGCGCTGCTAGAATCTGTGGCGGGAAACAACACGAAGAAAAAAAAAAACAATTGCCACTTGCTAGCAATTTGAACTAAGAACGTAAGCCAACAATCCTCATCAAAAGACAACTTTGCTACCAAGGAGGGAAGCCTTTCCTTAACCTCCTTGTTTACTGCTACTATTTTTTTTTCATTTATTCCAACATGTAATCACCAGACGTGGTGACGGCACACTCAAGTTTTATCAACTTATATTAATGCCGACAATACTCATTTTCGCCTGAGCGAAGTGAGGAAAGTCGTGTAAAGTGCCTTTCCCAAAGGCACAAGATGGGTGGCATGTCAGGACTCGAACCCGGGACCTCTAGGTTCCGAGTCGAGCACTCTGCCGCTACGCCACACCACCCCACCTTTCGCCACACCACCCCACCTTTCGCCACACCACGCCACCTTGGGCCACACCACCCCACCATGCTACTATTTCATTAAACGTTGCCCTATGTTGTAGAGCAGGGTACTGTGAAATGTTTATTTTAGAATCCAGAAGAGAAACCAGCTGACCTGTTTGTTCCTGCAGTTGCCAGAGGTACTCCCGCCAGAAGGCACAAGGCCTGGTCCTGGGCCACTGCGCAACTCGGACCGGCTGTGTGTCCAGCACGATATAAGGCTGGTCCGTCTGGTTGTAGGGTGGCCACGTCTCGGTCCCAGGATCATTGGGGTCCCTAGAGAAAGAAATCGAGTTCTTTTGGACCAGAAGTTTTGTACATTTTGACCCTGTGTTTCATCGATTGTATATAGTCTAACGATCTTTTTTTTTCTCCCAGACCTTAACCAGAGTTAACCTTAACAACGTCTACGAAAGTTGGTCGAACCCTGTTTTTTGTAAGCGAGCAAAGAGTAAATTAGAAAGGCCGACATTTGCTCGGGATGGCTTCAACGGCAGCAATGGCTTCACCACATAATAACAAAAATGGTCCTGTTCCCCTCCCCCACTTACAGCCCTGTGCAATACCTATTAAAATGCCTCCCCTCTTTAAGAATGGATTCTTATAGATTACCCTGTCATCGCAAAGTTGGTCCAGAATCGCATCATTTTCCTCGACAATCTATGTTCATCCTGGGTAAAATTCTCAGACGGATTCAGGGGCAAACCCAAGACCATGGAGGAGGCGGAACTGTGCATTGCTCCAGTCCACGGGGACGGTGGAAGATTTGAAATGACGTGGTTAAACTGGTACATGTACACCTTCCCGGCGACACGAGTACGTGCAAGGCTGGCTTCTATCACCGGGCTACTTGATGGAGTAATCCCCGACCATGTTCTCCGCGGCGTCCCGGTACACTGCCGGGTTGCCCAGGCCTCGCCAGTCCGTGTACTCAAATGCCACGGCTTCGATTCCAAACTCATTCAGGGTCGGCAGGAGCGCTTGGATAGTTTTGATGTACTGGGTCTTGTTGATGAAACTGTCCGTTGAAGGGTTGAAATCCAGCGATGTTTCCCTAGCTATGAAGAAAGAACCTTCATTGGTTGTGAAACCAGCCATGACGTCAACAGTGGGAGGGGGGCGTTCATCGGCCATATCTGACGGTTCAGAGAGCAGAAAATTCCCATCAACCACCGGTGTAAAACCGAAATCCAAAAGAGCCTGTGGTTGGTTGTTCACAATGTCCTCCGCAGAACGACTTTGCAGACACGCCACCATGTCCTGGACCTCGGGCTGCCGACAGCCCAGGGCGGTGCCGAGGGCGCGGCCTCGGGCCATGGCGACGTCCCTCGGTGTTAGGGCCCAGTTGCTGAAGGCCGCTCCGCTCTGTAGAATGGCGCGCTGGTACAGACCACTGCTGGAGGGGGACAGGAGGTGGAAGTGGACACTGGCTGCTCCTGGACAGAAAGACGAACTGGTGCATTATTGGAACATAATGTTAACCTTCGGACATGGTCTTATCTGTTACTTCTTACTGAAACACATTCACATACATGTACTACTAGTATATCGTGACAGGAGCAAATTGCAACATTATGTAACCCAACACCAGTCACCATGGTGACAGACAACAAATTATGTCGTTGGTCAGGTCAGGTCAGAGGTCACTGTTTGGAGAAGAAGAAGAAGAGGAAGAAACTGAGCAAAAACAATATGTTTTCCTTCTTTCCTTCATTGCACAGAGCAATGACGTGAGAAATTTGGTATTAATGCTAAAAAGACCCTAAAAAAAGATATGCATCCCATTTGAATTTATAATTTGCAATGCGAAGAGAAATCAAACCTGCACTTGTCCCGAAAATGGTCACCCTGTCCGGGTTCCCCCCGAACCTCTCTATGTTGTCCTGTACCCACTGTAAGGCCAGCTGCTGGTCCAGCAGTCCCATGTTCCCCGGGGCATCGTCCGTCCCAATGGCCAGGAACCCCAGGGCCCCCAGCCGGTAGTTCATGCTGACGACCAGAAGGTGTTCCGTAGCAGCAAGAAATTGTCCCGCCAAACCCCATTTGGTGGCAGAACCAACTATGAACCCTCCCCCATGGATCCACACCATAACAGCGCCATCGTGCGGCTGAGAGGGAGACTGCCATACGTTCAGGTATAAGCAGTCCTCGCTGCGGTTATCCTCCTGTGGAATGCAGGTCTGTCAATGTATTTAACGAATGAGCTAGCCGCCCCGGCCCCCGTCTGTCGATATAATACGCGTGGCTCTGTCAACAACAGCAGTTTGGGGGATATGTGTTATGGTTTTTAAGTGCATAAATGTCCTAGCACCAACATATCTCCCATCCACCTTCTTGCATAACTACAATTTTCACCACCACAATACTACTGTACTTACCTTTCTTCAAAACCACTGCAGGGCAACACGCATTCGCATTCCGTGGGGTACACTGTTATAACTCACTTCCACAAAATATCATGCAACAGACTTCATTGAAAGGTTTTAAAGCTGCTCTTAAGAACATACAATCTTTACAGTCTGACATATGACCTCTGACCGCCACATGAATAACCGACCTTGACCGATCAATGACTTTTGAGTAACGGACAACGATTTTGATTTGTTCTCTACGGTTTTGTTTGTCTCTAAGTAATCCCATGTCATGCGGGCCATGTATTTATTTTGTATAATTTGGTTACCTGCGTTATTTATGTTTTACACACAATTTCTCTGTTACTTCTGTTCAAGTATTAACTTATGTTTTATTATTTCTGTAAACTGGGCCCCACTGAAAATCAACTTGTCAAAGCTGAGTTGGGCTACCCAGGTGTATGAAAATGAAATAAATAAAAAAAAATAAATGTCTTTATAAAGAGCATGCTTCTTTAGTTGTGCGAGTATCTTATTTAGCAAATCACATGACATACCTCATTATCTTGAAGTTCCTGGTAACAATCCCTCGCCAGCACCGTCGCGTTGTATACTCCCTGCCAAGGGTCGGGCGGGACCGGCGGCTTGAAGCGCAGCTCCCCTACAGGCGGCTTGGCGTAGGGAATCCCCAGGTAGGCGTTCACCTGTGTGCCCGACACGTCCAGGACGGTTCCCCGGACGGTGCCAGAGGTCAGAGTAACCGGTGGTGACAAACTAGAGACCTGAAATACTGCCACTAGAAGCGACAGTACCACAGATGTTGCTCTTGCCGCCATTGCTGGGTGCTTTTCATAGCTTGTCCTTCAACTCAGGCCACAGCAAGTAATTTTTATGGATGACATCATCAGCATTAATTTTCGTCTGATTTTGGGAAAAAAAACAAGAAATTTTGTTGCCCTCTGACAGTGGTCACCATGTCAAAAATGAGCAAAGATGTATTTTGCCATGTCGGAAGGTGGATGGCAGATAACTAAAGAGAGGAGACAATTATTAATTGTTTGTTTCTTACTTTGATGCAGTGATATTTGATGTTGGCTGCGTATATGTAATGCTCCCACTAAATCAAAAGCATTTGTACAATGATCGAGTTAAAATTTAAAAATGTAGCAACCTTGTTTTTTTCGGCCCGCCTTGTTTTTTTTTGCCCTCGCATTAGATTTGGAGTCTGTGGTGGATGTCATCCATAAAATTTATTTGCTGTGGCCTTACATACTACATCTGGACTACTACATCTGACTGACCCTAAGGACTGCCTATAGAAAAATGTCAACAACGTTATTCTCACGGTCCGGAGCAAACTACTTGTCAGTGACAGGTTCATAGATACGCCTTATTGCAAGGACTGACGTTTTATTTGATCTGTCTGCACAGTTAATTACCTTCGCCAAAAAGGTTATGTTTTCGTTGGCGTTCGTTTGTCTCTCTCTCTCTCTCTCTCTCTCTCTCTCTGTGTGTGTGTGTGTGTGTGTGTGTGTGTGAGCACGATAACTCAAGGAGGCCACAATGGATTGTCTTTATATTCGGTAGGTAGGTGGGTAGGTCTTGATGAGACATGGAACTGATTAAATTTTGGACCCCCTAGCGGCTTGTTATGGCACTGCAGCAATTTTTGGGGCGCTTTTCGGGGGGTCATGTGAACTGCAGCGGACGCACAATACGTCATAACCGGATCCGAATTGGCCCCAGCCGAACAAACATCCTAATTCAAACTATTAAAAAATAATTCTGTATCAAACCCGATACATTTCTCTACAATTCAGCATAGTTTTCACCTCGCTTATCCTGCAAGAAAGATTCAAGAAAGAATCTCGACAGGTTAATTTCTCAAGTACTGTGCGCACTACTTTTTGTCCGGACTACAGTACTACGGGGTTCGCCCATAAATCAACTGTGTACTCAGGCGACCTGCCTCACGAGACGACGGAAGAACAGAGCTGCCAGAGCCCCGGTTTATGTAAAGAGAAAAACCATAGTAGGAAGCAGGTAAGACTTAGACGGGCAGGGGGGTATTTTGCTATAGAGGGTAACAGTTTAGGTGTTTCTGTGGCAAAAGGATCACGGTAAAGTTGTAATTTAGAGACTTTATTTCCCATGTGGCTAGTGCATAATTTTCGTATGTGTGTGTGTGTGGGGGGGGGGGGTCAAAACCAATCATTATTTTCGTGAGACCCTCGTCAATGTAAGACCGTCGACATTTATGTAAATAAAATATGAAAACTGAAAATAATGTAATATAATGTGGTTGCAGAAAAAGTAGAAAGTGTTATTGTCAAATTTTTAGAAGATCTAAAACCATGTAAACATTCCAGAATAATTTGCGCAATTATCTAAAGCTGGGGCGGAAGGACTTTGATTGACAGAATGGGGTCAGACTGACTGTAGAGACAATAGGAAATTGTATGGTACGTGTGAACAGGGGCAGTGGGTGAAAAGGGAAAGGACACATCTGAAGGAGAAGGAGGGCCTGCATGCCATTTTTAGTAAGGCGTAATCAGACCTTTTTAGTCTTCGTTATCCGTGGGCAGCCGCAAAAAATCATCGTAATTCGTAATCAGTAAATTAGCCGTAACACATAACTGTTCATAATCAGCTCTGAGAAGTTCACGTAATTCGAAAACGGTGGTAAAAATTTCGCGTACTCCACAGTCAATACCCGCCCCTCCTTCCCCCCATGCAGGCCCTCATAAGAACAGGCACACAGACTGCCCCGGCGGCTGACTAATTATAAGGTACGGTTGAGAGAGTATGAGTAAGTGAGTGAGTAGGTGGGTGGGAGAGTGAACATACAGAGTGCAGACAACCGTACATTCTATGATGTCTTCGCACAGTTTAGTGGTAACAGGTCAGTGAGCAGATACAAAGTATGTGGCTATGCATGGGGTGAGTTATTAGGAATTACTCAAAATGTAGGCCCTCTAGTATGGCCCTAGTCTGTAAAGATGCCAAAATGGCTGTGTTTAGCATACATGGGTTTTGTAGCCTCCTTCGCAAACTTTTGGGGTGGCAGCATCAAAAAATAACTTTTTTTAGGGGAGTGACACGAGTTATGCCACGCAGCCTGGGCGGTTATCTGGCTTTTTCTGACTTTAAGGGTCATGATAACCTACAGGTTCTAATTATTGAAATAAACTAGCGATGCTCAATTACTTTGTTGATGAATAATGTATATCTATAATAAAGTATAGATATTGAAGTATAATTGTGGCTTCCCCTACACACCAGAAATGGAATATTCCAGCTGTGAATATTCTACTGGAGACCTGTGTGTTGCACAGCCTGGGAAGAAGACGGGCTGTACTGAACACCCTGGGAAGGACATGGACTGTGCTGAACGCCCTGGAACGGAGATGAGCTGTCCTGAACACCCTGGGAAGAAGAGTGACAGCAGGCAGACCCAGACAACAGCCATGGACCCGCAGCAGGAAACGTGTGATGTGAACTTTCCTGGACCTGTCAACAAGTCAACCTCACAGGTACAGGCGAGCAAAGGTGATATGGGAAGGCACGTTGTTAAACACACCGGTGAGAAACCCTACATGTGTGAGGAATGTGGATACAGGACAGATCAAAAGCACCACTTATCCCGTCATATGAGAACCCATACAGGAGAAAAACCCCACAAGTGTGACCAGTGTGACTATTCTGCTGCACGCAAAGTAACTTTGGAGGAACATCTAGCAAAACACACCCTACATGTGTGAGGAGTGTGGGTATATGACTGGTTACAAATCTCACTTATCCCGACATATGAGAACCCATACAGGAGAAAAACCCTACATGTGTGGGGGCTGTGGGTACAGGGCAGCTCGCAAGTCTTCTTTATCCCAACATTTGAGAACCCATACAGGTGAAAAACCATACAAGTGTGACCAGTGTAACTTTTCTGCAGCCCAGAAAGGCACCTTAAATGAACATAAAGCAAAACACACCGGTGAAAAACCCTACATGTGTGAGGAGTGTGGGTACTGGACAGGTCATAAGTCCCACTTAACCCACCACATGAGATCTCATACAGGAGAAAAACCTTACAAGTGTGACCGGTGTGACTTTTCTGCAACACGAAAATTTAGCTTGGATCAACACCTTACAAAACACACCGGTGAGAAACCTTACATGTGTGGGGAGTGTGGGTACTGGACAGCTCAAAAGTCTCACTTATCCCAACATATGAGAACTCATACAGGGGAAAAACCCTACAAGTGTGACCAGTGTGACTATTCTGCAGCACTGAAAGCCAATTTGAAGAAACATCTAGCAAACCACACTGGTGACAAACCCTACATGTGTGGGAGTGTGGATACAGGGCAACTCACAAGTCCACCTTATTCCAGCATATGAGAACCCATACAGGAGAAAAACCTTTCAAGTGTGACCAGTGTGACTATTCTGCCGCACATAAATTCTCTCTAGACCAACATATTTTAAAGCACACTGGTGAAAAACCCTACATTTGTGAGGAGTGTGGGTACAGGACATTTGACAGCTCTGCCCTATTCCGACATGATGAGGAAACATACCGGAGAAAAACCCTACAAGTGTGACCAGTGTGATTATTCCGCTGCACACAAACTTTCTTTGGATGTACATTTAATGAAACACACGGGTGAGAAACCCTACATGTGTGGGAAGTGTGGATTCAGAACATCTCGCTGGTATAACTTAAACCGACATTTGAAAACGCATATAAAATACTGGAACCAAAGTGACTGTTCTGGAACTCAAATGTCTGATTTGGACCCGTAGTTAGTTCGAGTGAGAAATCCAGTAAACCACAGTAGTTAGACCCGATTATAATTTCATTAGGTTGGTAAAGCAAGAGATATTGGGATTTTCTTATGCACTTCTTGCCATTATATGTAGGTGGCGCCTTTGAACGAGAACACAATCCTAAACTTAGCCATGTTTTGGACTATCTTGCAGCACACAAAAGATGATTTTAATACCTAAGACTTAAAGCATTGACATATGTAATGATTTTTTAAAATATTTTAGCATCGATTATTTGTTTGTTAGTGATTATATCAGTTTTGTGATGATTGGTTTGGGAAAAGGATCATAGTGAGATTATGATTCATTTATGTCTTTTCTGGATGTGAATATGGTTGGGAAAGTGGGTGGTGAAATCAAACGTAGGGCAAACCTTCCATCTAAATTAAAAGGTTTTCAACTGAGTTACAGTCTCTTCGCGTAGCTTTCTCGTGTAATATAAGATAAAGAGAGAAAAAGGTACACAGAAGAGGTATTGACATAAAGGACTAATAGTATTGATTGAGATTCTGAAACACTTGTCTAATCCCCGCACTAAAGTACAGATAAAATTTAGAAACGAAACGTTTGAAAACACCAATCGATTAAAACTCTCAGAAATGTACTCTCACCCTCTAATTCTGTTTACAGCAGTTGATTTGTTTACCCAGGTAGAAAGAAATAGATAGGCTACAATGTAACATTTGTATACCAAATACATAATGTTTACCTTCACCTGCCTAACACACTACTGCTCTTTCTTCTTACGCAAACAGTGTAACATATAATAAACCTAATAAATAAATAGAAGAAAAAAGTATATATATATATATATATATATATATATATATATATATATATATATATATATATATATATATATATATATAT